GGTAACATGAGGAATGGTACATCACTGTAGAACTGGAATTCAATCACTGTTTTTTAAAGGACTTTTTTTAGATATGCAGTTCAATTTATAATTTTATGTTTTTTATTTCTCTAATACTTCTCATGCTCATATAACACACATGGTTATGCCAATATCTGTAGGATTGGAGATGTAATTTTTTCAATTACTTCTACTGACACTATGTTCTGAAATGTTGTTTAATTTTAAAATATGCACTCATATATTCTTGATAAAAATCCAGAGAACTATTGACATGGATTTTCACTTTCCCTCTCACCTGCTCGAGAGAAGCAGATATTTGAATCATACCTTTGTTAAATTTGAAATCAAACCACGCTTAAAGGAAAATTTACATTATTACAGTAGGAAAGTTAGAGAACTCTTTTTCCTATCTCCTTTGGCACTTGTTATGCTACACATTTGTCTCTGTGAAGATCTGCTATGTGAACTCTCAATTCCATCACCAGATCCTGATGACTTAATCAGGGGTTGGAAATTCTGTACCCTGACCTGACAGGCCCCATAAATAAGTTACCTGGATTATCTCTGAATGCTGCAGTGGCAGCACAGCTTTTGATTTGCTTTATATCTTAATTTTAGATCATTCTTCACATTTGGACTCTTAATTACATTTAATTTTGTAAACGGTCATAAAAAAACACTCATAAAAAATCAATGTTTATTTTAATTCATCCAGAATTTAGAGCAGGCAATTTTCACCACCTACAGTAACACTGCCTACATGATACATTATTAGAAAAAGATTCCCAGATTCACATCACACACATTGTGTAGTAGAGAAATAAAGTGTTTTGTGAGAAATCCTGAATTCAGCATGTATATGATCCTGTTCCTTAACATTCCTTAACATTTTGTCAAGGACAAGAAAAATAATATTATTGATTTTATTTTCTTTTTTTTCTGTTAAGTTGATTGGTACATTTTAGTTATAAAATAGTTACATTCATCACTGGGATCTTGTACCTTTACATGAGTATCTTGGTTCTTATTTTTTTTCCCCTTCCCCTGCCCTCCCTTCACCCCCTCCACCCTTCCCCATTTGCAAAGACTTTGTTTCCATTTTTTTCCTGTTCTCATATTTTTTTCTTTTCCCTTCTTTCCTTTCCCCTACCCCTCCCACTTCCTCTACTCCTTTAGACCTTTTCGTCCTGTTACACCATATCAATTATACATTTTAAACATTACAATATCAAGATCTAGAAGACATTACCACAGATTTTATGGAATTTAAAAGGATATAGAAAGCATATTGCAAAAATCTTTTTTGAAATAAATTGGACAACTTCTAAGAAGTACCTTGGAAGACAAATTAATGAAACTGACTCTGGAGGAAATATAAAATTTGAATAGCATATATTAAAGAAAGTATATTCCTAACTTGAAAACCTACCAATATGACAACAATGGGCTCATATACATTTAAACTGATAAATTATATCAAACATTTAAACCAAAAAGCAGAAAGAAAAAGCCATATGATCCTGTTGGTAGTTGGAGAAAAAGCATTGGATTAAATTCTACAACTGTTCATGGTAAAAGCTATCAGGAGACTAGAAGTAGAACAGAATCTTCTCAACAGATAAAAGACACGTACTCCATACTTCCAGGAAAAATGCCTTATATGAATGGAGAAGATACAATGCTTTCTCCCTAAGGTGGGGAACAAGGACAGATATGTCTACTCTTCATCTATCCATTAAACTTTGAAACATAGGCCCAAACCAAAATAATCTGGCAATAAAATGACACAATTAGGATAGGATTGGCAAGGTAGAAGTAAAATCTTTATATTTAGATGAAATGATCATCTACAGAGGAAATACTAAGAAATCTCTAGGAGGCCCTAGAACTTGTATTTGAATTTAGCAGGATTAGAAAACACAGGTATATATAAAATTTCAGGTCTATGCATACTTGCTATAAATGAAGAATTGGATATTGAAATTTAAAAGTTATGTAGGAGTACAAAGGACCTAGGAAAGTAAAAAGAAAAGGAAAAAAAAAGAACAGTGTTGGAAGACGATCAGTACCTAATTTTAAGACATTCTCTAAAGCTCCAGTAATCAAGGCAGTTTTGGTGCAAGGAAAGACATAGAGATCATTGGAATAAAACAGAGAATCTAGAAATAGAACCACACATATATGGTCCACTGAGTTTTGAAAGATTATTTAA